CAGAATTTTAAATTGCACCACCACCGGTGACAGAATACCCAGTGGATCAAAGATGCGTGCCACGTCCGACAGCACTTGTCGCTTGGTGCTGTCCGGTTTCGACGAGAGGCAAACGTTGTATGATAAAGTATCTTTTTCTGGATCCCAGTGAATGCCAAGAACTTTTGCTGGAGAATTGAGTCCCTAGCCTTGAGTAGTGGTTGAAATTAGAGTTACGACAGAAATACGCGATGAATTTGAGACCCGTTTTCCAAGCTCCATGCCTGCACGTTCCATTAGCTGAATCAATTCATCTCGCATGCAAGTAAGCTCTTCCTCTGTGTATGCTCCCGTGAGTACGTCGTCCATGTAAAACTCCTCCTTGAAGATTTTAGCTGCATTGGGAAACTCGTGTTGATGGTCGTGAGCTAGCTGGTCCAGGACCCTCACTACCAAGAATGGTGCGCTAGACGTGCCGTATGTTACTGTGGAGAGCTCATAGTGCTTGATAGGAGTGCTTTCATCTTCTCGACATACAATGCGCTGGTAACTGCAATGATTGGCAGCCACCCAGATTTGTCGGTACATTTTGACTATATCTAACGAAAAGACGAACTTAATCATTCTGAAGCGTATACAAATTGAGAATAAATTTCGCAGAATACTGGGTCCAATGTGCAGCGCGTCGTTCAAGGCCTTTCCGCTAGTATCCTTAAACGAGCCGTCAAAAACCACCCATAATTTTTGTGTAATTACTGGAGGATGTGGCAAGTAAAAGCATGGTTTCTTGTTAATGTTGTTGGAGCAGCAGCAGCAAAATAGCATAGTATAGCATAGAATAGCATAGTATAAGAGTTATTGGATTGTTACGCTCAGTCGCTGTTACGATCGTTCGATCGGCTCCCTTCTGGACTGGGGCGAACGTTGGCATCGCTGGCTGCGACCAGTGCATTAAATAGATTTAAATTGAACGGCTGTCTTTTTCTCGTCTCTGTCGCTGACACCGAATACCACCGTTTTCGAAGCACCACACCTAGAGCTGCTGGACCGGCGTCATTCCCACAATACCGTTCCGGGAAAATCATTCCGGATTTTTCAAATGTCTTCTGGCGATAGTTCTCGCATATGACCCAAGTTAAGATAATCACGAGTAAACAGCACATACTGTGAGTGCAGATCGTGATCTCGTTCCAGGCGACGTTCAACACCCCTGAATCTTGCTAGTGCTCCGTGTATTGCATCCAAAAACTGTTGACTAGGATCTTTGAACTGCAGCTCGACGATGTAAAGCCCCTTGGAGTCCCGAGTGTGTGTCTTCATAAAGTGTTGCTCAACGTCATCGTCCTCTGGTTCCCGATGAAATTCCTGGTTGACATCCTCCAACTCCCAAAAGCTTCGAAGCGATGCGTCAATGTCAATAGCCGTGTGTATTGTTGTTGTAGATGATGAGCTGCTAGTCGTAATAGAAGTAATGTTCCCCTGGCTGTCGAATATGATTTGGCCGGTGAACACGTTCCACACATCATTTCTGCCCAATAGGATATCCACTGGCGCTAACGATTGATAGTCAGAATCTGCGAGATCGAAGCCTTCGAATGCCTTTGGTGCAGCGGCGTCAATATCGTGTCTTGCCAATGTTGAGGTGATTTTGCTGAGTACGTGCGCGCGTACAGCAGCAGCGCGTTGCAGCAGCCTGCGAAGTAGCATTTTCTATGTGTAGTAGAAAGTGGTGACGAGTAAGGAAAAATTTGCATGTGAATTTGGATTCACACTTTCGTGACAAATGCCCAAGCTTGAGGCAGTTAAAGCACAAGGACCAAACTTCGGACAAATGTAGATCTTGTGTTCCTTGGAGTTACATTTAAACAAGCTGCTTTTTTCAGCGATACCATAGCGTGTGACGATCGCTTGGCTTTGTTTTGTTGTGCCCCAGCCTTGAAGTCTGTGTCAGTCTCACTTTTGCTTAGGTCAAATTCCTCGCAGCGTCGGTCTAAAAACTTAAGTAAATCGTTTATAGTTGGCGATTCCAGTTCCCGACTTCCTTTAGTCCATTTGCATCGGGTTTCAGCGTCAATTTTGGCCACAATGAAATGTATAATCCAGCAGTAAATTCACAAATGTATCCAGCAGAGTATTTACAATGTGACGTTGTCGGTTGTAACGCTCCGTTAGGCAAGTCCAAGCAGCAGTATAAACAGCTTCTGTTATTGGCATATGTCGTATCAAATCAGCTGCTTCTCCAGTAACATATGTCTTCCAGTAGTGAAATTTTTGAATGGCTGTCAATATATACCCCCTATTTCTCTGCTCGTTTAGTGAGCGTGAGCAAGAAGGAAACGTCTAACTCCCGACTAGCACAGTTTAGTGAGTGTGAGCGAGAAAGAAATATTTGGCTCTGAAGTGCGCAGTTCACTTTTTACTAGAAAAGGCAATGTCGAAAGGATTTACAAGCGTTCAAGAGTTTAATGAATTAAGACCTTCGAGACCATATCACATTAAAAGCATAGCTTGGTGCAAATTAAAGAGTGAATACATCAAAAAGTAACAGAGACCTAGTCCAGAAGGTAAAAAAAAAACCTATACATACAAGGGTGCCACAGAAATCACGCGCAGAGGATTTCCGCTTAAAAATTTCCCCCGTGCCACAGAATTCCGAGCGATTTCATTTGTCTTAGCATTGTCACAAACCAAATTCGAACTAAGGCTAGGGCTGACACCTTTCAAGATTTCGAATAGGGTTCATTTTGCAGTTTTATTGATTTTATCATATCAAAACAATTGGTTTTTATTTTTTTCTATTATGATATAAAATAATTGATTTTTCAAAGCTGTACTTTTATAATTTCAAAGCAAAAAAAAGCATCCCATATCTCGCGAGTCAAACAAAACCATGTATTCGGCAACTCCAGCAGTTGTATGGCAACTCTCCGTGCATGGCAGCAATCAGCTGTTAAAAAAAAAATAGACATCTAAATTTTACTGTAAACTTAATTAAAATGCTTTTACCGAGACTGTTGGCCATCGAAGAACTACCGAGGAAACATATTAGAATACAAACCTTCTCAGATGCGCATCGGACTCGTTTTCACTTTGAGACGATACGTATGTGGTTTTTGTGATTGTCTTCTCAAACTACTCCTAATTTAGTTCATTAAAATTACCAGTTTTTGGTATAATGATCGCTATGCTTCTATTTGTGCTGCCATGGCTCTGCGCTTAGTCGAACAGTGGTTTTTGACATAAATGCAATGGCAATAATGTGTAGAAATGGTTTGTTAGTTTTTTTCTGGCATTTTGAAGCGATGCCACCTGGTAGAACTACAAAAGGCTACAAATGTTTTCACAATTTGCACAAAAAGTATGCACACGTTTGACATAAAGGATATTTTACTGCAGTGAGCTATTTTTTATTATGCTTAATGTTGAGCTACTGAGCTTTTTCAATAGCGTAGTTTTGCGATATTTTTATTAACGAGACGATGGTTGTTCAGGTTAAATATGGTTTATTGTTGTGAACAGTATAGAAAGCGATACAGAGTCAAAGGGATAGCGAAAAGTTCGAGTTAGGTTGATGACGAGCCGGTTGGAGAGTTAGCTGGATTCCAGACGGGGTCAAATTGTAGGCGCGGGGGTCGGTACAAGACGGTGTCGGATTGAATAGCTCGATTCCAAGACGATGTGCAGTGGTTGCTAGATCCAGACTGAATCAAAGGGCAGGCGGGCCGAATTGCCTGTGATCTAATGCGAGCGAGAGAGCGAAAGGTCGAAAGAGTGATAGCAAAGCAAAGGAAAGAAAGGCGCGAGATGAAGAGGCGAAAGAAAACGGCTGCATAGGCTGCTGCCGTGCGGGAGCATGAATGCGTGCATAAGTTTGTAGGTAGATGACACTTTAGTACAGTGGGCAGTGCAAACAACGAACAATAATAAGGATTTACTCTACTGCTGCATCACCGGCTATAATCTATGCATTTGTCCACTATTTGGCTGCGTATCAAACACTTAAATAAAGAAAACAGAATGCTTTTAATAGAATTAATAGTAAATATCTTGCTCCGAATTCGGCTTAAGAAAGGTGGCATTACTGTATTAACTTCAAAGGTCCGAATCGCCCTAGGTGGCCACCTCAGACTGCAGCGGATTGAGCGCGGAATCGTTAACTGAAAATTCAGTCAGCGGATTGGATAATGATTTACTAAAATGCTTATTTTATTAACTTTATTAACATGTATAATGTTAAATTATTTGGATCAGGGTTTAATCACCAATTGAACAACCTTTATGGTAAAGTAAGAGTCGAATCGTTTTAGGTGTGTTTTATGGGTGTATTGAAATAAATCGCTGGATAAATTGTGAGCGATTTTGATTCCGCTGAAAAATCGGTGTGTGGCACCGCGGAATGGAATTGAGGTGGTTTTCCAGCGGAAGTGATTTCTGTGGCACCGCTGTATAAGAGCTAGAGCAGCCAAATTTTGTTTCCAGACTAATGTGCTATCACACTACTACAACTGTATTTAAAAATTTCGCCTCGCCCTCCTTCGCCATTACAAAGAACGAAAATCTGTGGCATCCACAATTTTAAAGATACGATAAAACTAAAAATGCATTATCGTAGAAAATCACCATATCTACCAGATGCAGAATCTGAATCAGATCGGATCATAATTATAGCCAGAATGAAGAAAGTTGCTTCCCCCACCTCCTTCAGCAAGAAACCCTTTTTTCGCTCGCACGCTCTGCCTCGTTATGTACGCGACCGCCCGCTACCGGAGTAGAGTAGATCTAAATGGTACATGTAGAATCTACATGTTAGATGTAGAATATACATTGTAGTTGTAGATAGAAAATAAAAAATTTTTAATTTTGTAAATTCTACATAAATCATAAGCTCTCAAATTTATATACAGCCTGAGTACGGGTATAAAAGTAGAGTCACGTCCCCAGAAGCGACTCACACGTTCCTTCTCGTTATACCGTGTAATTATACTATTTAACTAAAATATTATGAATTTTTTTTTTTACAGATGCAAATCTCGCTCTGAGTTAATACGTGTATCTGCCGCAGTAATGGGCATTGAATTTTCGTACGCGGCAGAAACAGCATTTGTGTCTCCAACACTACTGAAAATCGGAGTTGAGCATCAGCATATGACATTAGTTTGGGCACTATCTCCTCTAGTCGGCTTCTTTTTATGCCCAATACTGGGATCATTTTCTGACCGATGCAAGTTAAATATGGGACGACGACGGCCTTTTATATTACTTCTCTCTATCGGAGTGGTTCTTGGTAATAATAACACTAGTCAGCACGATTTTTCCTCAAGGAACAAAACGAACTTTTTCTTAAAGATTTGGCGCTTAGAAATTGTTTGATGATATTTTTTTTTTTCTATGGCAGAACTTTTTTTTGAAGAATTTTTGAAAACTGGTATTTTTTTTTAAAGTTTTTTTCAGAGGTAGCGCTTGTTTTTTTCACATAGCTCTAGTATCTTACGTCTGGTTGTAAATAACTTTGCTATTTTGAAAAGCTAATTAAAACAGCTAGAAGTTAAGCTCAAATACTTTGTGATTACAGCTTACCGTCTGGGAAATATAAAGCATTGAAATGCAAAAATGATGATTTTTGTGCGGTATTTTTCACGATATTTTGACTTTAAAAACTCAAGAAAAGTCGAAAAAAAATTATATCTTGTGTCCTCTATTTTTTTGTGTATAGGTGCGTTAATTTGGCGTCGTTTAAGGTATCGCTCATTAAAATCTATGGAGAGACTTTGGAGCTAAAATTCGTTAACCAAACCTAAAATATGGAAAAAATGAACAAAAAATACCTTTTGGAAGGTGCGGGCCCTAAAAGCTTACAAAAAAAATACCAGACTTAAAAAATTCTTCAAAAAAAAGTTCTGCCATAGAAAAAAAACCATAATTCTTTAAAAAATTTTAAATCCCCATATCTATCAGAAAAAGTCGGTTTGGATCCTTGGGGAAAAAAAAAGTTCGATATTGTCGAGTAGTGTAATAAGTACATATTTAATTGTGCACTCAAAATTGACAGGGCCACACCTATATAGAAATTCTAAGGAATTTTGTTATAGCTTGGGATCGTAAAATTAAAGTTATTGTTGAAGGAGTGGAATCCCTTTTTTGACTACAATTTGCATCCCATACCTCTCGGGCAGAACAATATAACAATAAGATGCGTAACGAAATACAATTTTTTGTATTTATAATCTATAATCTATAAATTTGTATGTAAGCGGCTATCTCCGGAACGTGAGCACCAAATGATAGCCAGAGAATGTAGCATGGATTGCAAATTAATCAAAAAAATCTTAAATTTGGTCCAAAAGTGTGTGTTTAAACGCCTATTTCATTTAATTTCTCCGCAAAGCGTGCACCAATTTGCATGTTGATTTTTTTAAATGATAGCCAGAGAATGTGGCATTGTTTCTATACAAAAGTTTTTACTTTTCTATAAATAGGTTCTACGAACATTAAAAATGTATCCAAAAAATCTCAAATTTGGTCTAAAAATGTCTATTTCATTTCATTTTAAGTCATTCTGTGAAACAGAACATTTTATGATAGATTTTGCTTTTATACCTTTTTGTTTGAAAAGTGTGTTCTGAAAAAATTGCAATTTGTGTAAGTATATTTGTTGTTCTTGATTACGCAAGGGAACAAGGGTTTTGTTGATTAAGAACTGAATGTTGGTTTTAAGGTAATCGGGGCCACTGACGCTGAATCCAACCCTGTACTTGGTTTTTTCCTATCAGATCGAGTTTTCGCGATATACCGTTATATCCAAAATTAAGGCACTTCCCTTACATATAGTGGAAAACGTATAGTGGAACTTAAAATCGGTTAACCGTATTCAGCTAAAAAAAATCCAAAATCCAACAGATTCAGTGATATCGTTGTAGTTTTGAAAAAAAAAAATTAGCGATGAATTCATAAAAAATAAATTCATTTAGTTCGCAGCTCAGTTAGCAGCGAAGCGCGAAGGTCTGCTAGTTGTTTATATATATCATATGTTTAGTTTGTTTTTAAAATATAGAATGTATGAATATAATGTGAAGATATATGACTTCACATACTAGTAATTGTCGTTAGGTTATTCAGAATGCGTTGTCATAAGAAACGGGTTTGCTGAAATTTATTATTGCCTGAAATTTATTTACCGAAATTGGGGTTAGGGGACGAAAATCCTTTTGAGACTTTAATCCGTTATCTATATACATATATATAAAAATGGCTCGTACCGTACCGCCTACCGTTCAGACGTGCTTCGTGACGTGCTCCGGCCCATGATCAGATTGTGAGACACCTGCAACAACACGGAACGCCAGCTGATGCGCAACAGATAAAGAAAGAGGCTCACTAACCAGGCATTTGATACCAGACCGTGACGGAAGGGCCACTGACGTATATCAGCAAATAAAAATACAGGTTGCAAACGCTGAAAACTGGAAATTCTCATGGAAAGTGGGTAAAAGTGACTCTTGAGTGAAAATTGATGCGGGAGCAACAAAAACAAAGCCAGGCGTGGCTTAGCAGACTGGAGCAAAGCAGCAAGGCCCGGAACCTAATTTTCAAAGGCCTAGAGAAGGAAGATTCCCCAAAGGAGAGAGTCGAAAATTGCTACGGGGTAAAATGGCGATCACGAACGCATCAGTACGAGAAACCCGAGTGCTCTACCAACGAAACAATAAGATGGGAGTGCTGGTGGAAATGGAGAATGCTTCAGCGATAAATGAGGTATTAAAAAATGGAAAAAAGCTAGCGGGTAGTTCAGTCTATATTGACAGAGACCTTAGCCAACAGCAGCAAGAAAACAAGCTGGCCCTGGGAGTTTGTCAGGAGGTTGAATGGGATCAACAGGAGCATGCAAATCAGAGTTGAACCGGACAGCTTAGCGCAGCATTTAAAAAATCTACCCCTACAGCACAGCCAAGCGATACAGCACTATTTTGCTTCGCCATACACCGTAAATAGAGAGCTAGACCAGGAAATATCGCAGTGGGAAGTCAAGGCAGCAGTGAACAAGAGCAAAAACTGTAAAGCCCCCGGAATCGACCGGATACCAGCAGAATTCCTAAAACACGTTGTCTTACGAAGGTATTCAACACAATTTGGAATGCAGAGAATGTCCCAGAAAGCTTTCGGCAAAGCATTATTTACCCGATACACAAAAAAGGCAATGTCACTGATGCAGCGAACTATAGGGGGATAGAATAGAATATATGCGAATAGAGTCCGATCGTGGCAGATGGTCGTGTTCTACTTCGTTCCTCCAACAAAGTTTTATTTTCGACGCTTAATTGAATATAATTGTGTGTTATTAGTGTACCCTGTGTTGTAAACTGACCGTGCAATCTGTCCACTACCTGTGCTCGTTTAGTTAGCGTATTTTTGTGTTTTAATTTCATATTTAAATTCAATCGCTCTTTTTCTTTTCTTCCTTGCATTCGTATTCACAGCTTTGTTGTTGTTAACGTTTGCTCGATGCACTCTCTCTGAGCCACTCTCTACTCCGTTCTATCTCCGTTCTTACCGTTTCTTCATACATACTTGCACTGACGCTCTCTGTTCGTCGCCTCTTCGTGCCTGCCTAAAGATCTGTGTTTATCTCGTTTCTCTGTGCTTAAGCTTTGATTGCTAACTCCGCTTCAAGCGGCCACCGTCGAACGCTTGTTGTTTTTCGATCTTTGTTATTGTTTGTGCGTTTATCTGAGTGTTCAAGCGTGTGAGACAGCTTTACCATAAACACCGACTTGATTGCTACCTTTTCCCCATCTATTTTTCTTTTTCTTTCGGTCTATAATGAGTCTTATAATGAGTACTTGCTGTACCAAAAAGTGCCGCTCGGTAGCCGTAAAGCAAATTTTCACCTACTGCTGACTGTGTGACAACATGGCACATACGGTATGCGCTGACCTCGGCAAAATTGGTGGACGCGTGGTCGACTTAATTAAGTCTCACTGTGGCCTTAACTGGACTTGCTGGGACTGCAGGCAGATTGAAAGCGACATGCGAGTTTTTATGCGACAAACTCATAATGATTTCGCGGCCGTCAACTCTGGATTCCGACTGTTCCATGAAAAGTATCTTTCTATGCAGTCTTATTTCAAAAATCTTAAAATTTTGACTGAGTCGCCTAAGAGAAAGAAAAGTAACAACAGTCTGCCCACTGGCAATAATGGTGTTTTCCTTGCAGTTCCTGGACGGGATGTTAATGATGATTCTGGCGCTGGAGCTTCGGTGCCATGGATGTGGAGGCTCCGTCTGCCTCGGCATCCATCGTCAACCCAGAATATGACCCATCATCTGCCGATTCTGCCCTTCGGGTTGAATCTGGTCTGCCGGTTCTACCCAATAGTTCTATCATCCCACCTTCTATCCTAACTGCTGTCGCCCCACTAAAATCTATTTTCGTTTCTCGACTGATGGCATCGGCTACGGATGTACTGGTCAGGGACTTTATCTTTTCTGAGCTTGACATTGATGATTCCTCAGGTCTTGTTGTCACTAACTTTAAACTTTTAACTTTAAAGTTAAACGCAACATATCTTCCTTCAAAATACTTGTTCCTGACAAACATGTCAGTAGTGTGCTCGACCCCTCTTTCTGGCCTGAACATACTATCTGTCATGTGTTTACCAATCGTCCCTCTAGCCCGGAACGACGAGTGGGTGTCCTTCCAACTCCATATCCGACTGCTTTAACTTCTGTCCATCCAACTCCATCTCCGGCAGCATTACCCTCGGCCTCAAAAAACAAATTTCTCCTCTTTCCCTTAAGATAACCTATCAGAATGTTGGTGGCTTGGGCAGTAAGCTTAACAAGCTATATACTGACGGTGCATCTTTCGGGACTGATGTAATCGCTTTTTCTGAAACCTGGCTCAACTTCTCTAATTATGACTCCGAGATTCTTATTAACAAATTTAATATATATAGGTATGATCGTCCATCTCGTTGCGGCGGAGTCCTGATTGCTGTTCGTTCGAACATAGCTTCCCAAATCGTTCACGTCAAAGGGCTTAACAACATTGAAATTATTGTTGTTAAGCTTTGCTGGCCCTCTTCTAAGCTCTTTATATCCTGCTCTTACATTCCGCCGTCCTCCGAATTCTCCACTTATATGCTTCACTTTTCCCATCTTCAGTCTATTGCGTCCCAACTTAATGACTCTGATCGTCTTATAGTCCTTGGAGACTTTAACCTACCTAATATCTCATGGTCTCATGGTCATATATTATACCCATTCATAAAAAGGGCTCTAAATCGG